GGCTGGGGCTCAGGGCCCCGCCCCTTCCGAGGCCAGCCAATCATGGCTCAGGGGAGGGCGGAACCTCCCGCCCGCCTGTGGGAGACACTGGTACGAGGCAGCCAATGAGAGGCCAGCAGGGTGGAGGGGGCGGGACCATCTGTGTGCCCGACAACCTGTGCGGAATAAGCGCCCGGATCCACCCTCCGAGGGACCAGTCAGAACCAGGTGAGGTGGAGGGGCGGGTCCCTCTGTCCCCTCCGCCCCCGGAGGGTCACGAGTTTGTCCGCAGTGGGTTGTTTTTGTTCGGCAGGTGGAAAAACAGGCTAGAAGTTAAGCCACGCCCCGAGTCACACGCTGGAAAGAGACCTACCCTTTTACACGCGCCTCTTCTCGTACCTGGGACGCCTGCACCTGGCCAAATACGGGTATCCCGTAGAGGACGCCCGCTCCGCCATCAGCACCGAGGAGCGGCGAGGTCCCCGGAGTCGCGGCCTCTAAACGGCTGGCCTGGCTGGGAAGTCTCTGACAGAGGCTGGGTAAATGCGAACTCCCTGGTTGAGTCAGGCTTGGATCTGTGGTTTCGCAGATTCGGAGCCCTCGCTGAGCCTCCCGGCCCACGAAAGGGGCATTTCCTCTGGCTTCTAACACTCTTTGGAGGGTGCTCCCTAGTTTGGCTATTCTGGGAATTAGGAAATAAACGCCTACCACCGGGCTTACGTTATCATTCTAAACTCTGGTCACATGTTTCAGAGCGCGTCTTAATCTTTGGGGCCTGGCTGCGAATCACTTTAGCTGTTGTTACGAAGGTGGCATGGAGCAGTTGCCAGCCTGTAAATCCGGCTCCGGACACCTGGCCCTGCGAGGCTTCGTTGTGTAACAGGGGTGAAGAAATGCCACACAGTGGCGGGGGCAGGTCGTGAGAGCAGGTGTGGACAACAGGTGTGTGAGCCAAAGCCCATTTCTGCTTCCTGTCTCAAGCAGCCTCAGGCTGCTTCCGCAGAACTATCACAAACAAGGCCACCTACTCTGAGTAGGCTTCTCAGTTTCCTCTGGGAGCCAGTGACACGCAGGCTGTTTCCATATTTGGGTGGGGACAATGTGAACAACTCTTGGTCAAAGATGGCTTGTTTGTTAACAACTTAATTTGGAAGAACTTCAAGTTAGATGGAAAACTAAGAGGGAGAAAGGTAGATATCAGGTTCATCACCTTAACAAAAGAAAAAAAAGACTTTAAGCTGGGGCCAGCAGGTGGCCAAGTGGTTAAGGTGTTGGACTCCCCATGGTCCCCATTTAAGTCCCAGACCTGGAGTTTGAAACTCATGCTGGGTGTGTGTGTGTGTGTGTGTGTGTGTGTGTGTGTAAAAACAAGCGAGAGAGGCGAAGGGAGAAGAGATTGCAATGTGGCCATTCTCCCTGTGGGGGTGACTTCTCATTGTCTTTCTGTCTCTCCGGCAAGGTCCCATGCCCTGCAGCAAAAAAAATCTCTTAAAAAAAAAAAAAAAGTAGTTAAGCAAGTACTGTTGGTGCCCGCCAGTTCCATTATTCCATCCTTCCCCTGTCAAGGAAAGGCCGCACGTAATTTCAGATTCGGAGTTCTAATCTCAGATCTGCCACCATGGGTCATGCAACCGAAGGACTTTCACCTCACCTCTGGGGTTCAATTTTCTCTGCTAAAATGGAGAGTTGGATTAGACGATAACTGATGTCTCTTCTAGATCTGTAGCCTATTTTTCTATTAACATGCAAAATATGTGCCTTTTAGGATTTCAGAAAATGAATTTTTTTCAAGAGGATGAGAAATACATTTGATTTAGTGTCACATCATTTATTACTGGTATACAGTAGCAATAGGCCCTGTTACCGCTCCCTCCTCAACCAGGAGCCTGGAGACTGCATCAGAGCTCCGAAGGAAGGCCACACACCTCCAGCTGTTAGCACCTCAGCTCAGCATCTGTCTTTGCACTCACTATTCCCTAGTCCCCAAATCCTCTTCCTGCAGCTGTGGCACAACTGCCTGTGTCATCTGGAATCATCTGGGATCAGAGGTGTCACTGGGGCTACTCTTTCATTTTTTTTTTTTTTGAGAGGTTTTTGCTGTAGGGCACGTGCGCTCGCCAGACAGAGAGAGACAGAGAGACAGAAAGCGAGAAATCAACCCCCAGGGGGGATGGCCATGCCGCAATCCCTTCTCCTCCATTCTCCTCTTGGGATCTTGGGCACGCATGCACACGCGCCGAGCATGAGGTTAAGCCACCACATCCGGGATTCGAACCGCGGTCGACTACGTGGGAGTCCAGCGACATAGCCATTACGCTAACTTCTGGTCCCTGGGGCTACTCTTTCTAAGAAGCCTTCCCCGGTTACTCACCATCAGACAGCCTGTTTCCTTCACAGCAACCATTACGCTCTGTAATAGCTGCTTGTTCATTGTCCTGCTAGAACGGAAGCTCGGAGGAGCAGGGACGCTGTCCCTCCTGCCTCCACTCAGCACTGCAGCAAGGACAAGCAGAACACATTTGAGTGACTGCCTGACCCGATGACTGAGGGCTGGTGGGTTCTTTGCGTTCAGAGCTGTAGAGTGTCCACACTGGGACATGAAGGGGACTCAACCGAGACCCTCGGGTACACTAGCCAGCCAGTTCAGCTCCTGGCGAGCAAACGCACCTCCCTGCGGCACTGGGAAAACCCTTGGCCCGGAGTGGCTGCGGTGTGCACTCATTTCAGGCTCTGCTAGTTCACACCCTGACTTTACGTTTCTATGTGAACAGCCTGCACAGGGCCCAGGCCTCACAGGCCTGTCATGGAACGGTCCTCTTCTCCCCATGTCTGCACTCCATCCTGGCGAAGGCCACCTCCGAGCTCCCTCTGCCCCCGGGTGTCACCCCAGCACGTTCATCACCACCAGCCAAGGTTCCCTCCAGCTTCGCCGCCTCCGTGTCCCAGCACTGAGCACAGTGCCAGGCCGCCGACACCCGTCACACGGCACTGACAAAATGGATATTCAGAACAGTCGTACTGTGTACCATCTGCAACAGCTTGGGATTCAGTCTTTACAGGACAGAAATTTCCTGCATCGTGGTCTGTGTGACTCGAATAGCAGGTTGCTGGTGTCATGAGAGTGACCTTAGAGTGATATTGAACTGCGATTTCCTCATCATTAAAACGGGGGGTAATAGTGTCTCCCTCACTGGAGGTTATGGGGCTTCTGTGAGATAAAGCATTTACAATGCCCACGCAGTGCCCAGTCCCAGTCAGGGCTCAGGATCGTGGCGTGTGGGCGACTGCAGCTTCTGCTCCTGCTGCTGCTCCCGCCTTCTACCCTAAATCTGCACACTGCTTCCCCTCCTCTCTTTTTTTTTTTTTTTTTTTGGAGAGGTTTTCGCTATAGGGCGCGTGCACTTGCCAGAAAGACAGAGAGAGACAGAAAGCGAGAAATCACCCCCCAGGGGGGATGGTCACGCCGCAATCCCTTCTCCCCCATTCTCCTCTCGGGATCTTGGGCACGCACATGCACCCGGCGTGAGTTTAAGCCACTGGGTCAGGGACTCGAACTGTGGTAGACTACATGGGAGTCCAGCGACATAGCCATTACGCCAACTGCTGGTCCCAGGAGCTTTTTATATTTTCCTTTCCTTTTCTTTGTTTCTTCCCCCTGGAAGAAACACACACACACACACACACACACATATATATATAAAGCTCCTGAGAAAATAACTTGATACAATGTCTGGGATTCTTCCTGTAATCCACTGGTTTGGAGGAGTACGTGCATGTATGTGCTATATTTCTTTTTTTGTTTGTTTGCCATAGGGTGCCTGCACTGGCCAGAGAAAAAGAGAGAGACAGTAAGAGGGAAAGTGAGAAATCACCCACTAGGGGGATGGACACACTGCAATCCTTTCTCCTCCTGGGATTTGGGGCAAGCATGCACATATACCCAGCATAATTTTTTACTTTAGAGGTTTTTGCTATAGGGCATGTGCGCTCGCCAGACAGACAGAGAGACAGAGAGACAGAAAGCGAG